GAGTCTTCAAATGCTGACTATGTGTATGCAGGGAAAAGGAGGTGGGAAGAGTTTGAAAGTTGGCTGCTTTGCAATATGCAATAGTAAAAGGCAATTCCAACAAAACCTGGAAGTGAATATGTGTTTAATAAGATTCCTTTCCAAATATTTGCAGTTAAGCAGAAGCTTTCTCTCTGGCTATAAAATGAAGTCTGTCATTCTTTCCACTGTTAACTGCATCTATCTATGTAACTGTGCCAATATGAAAAGCAGTTGCTTTGGTATCAATACCTTAAACTGTATTGCTGTAGTGTAGCAAGAAGAATTTAAGCAAGCTATTAATTTACCACTGCAACACTTCTGTCTTTCTGGCTTTAAAAACTTGATAGGAATGAAAAATGAATCTGTCAAGAAACTGTAAAGACTGTAATGCATATGGTATGATGGAGGCTTAAAGTGTTTGAATAGGCATAAAAACTATTTTTAAGAATGTATTTACATGGCTCTGTGAAAAGTAAATATAATGGAAAACAAGGTGCAAAACTGAAAGGCAAGGCACTCTGGCTATAAACAGGTTTGTTATTAGTGCACTGAGTAGAGAATTAGTTCTGTTTAGCTCAAACTGGGACACATGCTCAGTGGTCTGTTTGGAAAACATACAGGCTCTCACTTCAGGCTTACAGCATTTTATGGTGCTAACATATAAAAAAAAAACCAAAAAAGGTTTTTGTGGCTCTAAGCAATTTTTATTTTATTTGAAGATGACAGAAGACTATTTTATCTAGTCTTTCATTTTGGAAAGATACCACATACCCTCTGAATTTTCAGGGTAACTGATATCTTTAGTATTTCATTTTAGTTTTACTATTCAACAGATAAATACAACTTTTATGTAGAAAGAAAAATTATTACTTAAACAAAATTATCTTTTGAACAATGTATGAATAAACCTTAATCAAGAGATACATATTTTGTACCTTTTTATCTGGAAAGCTCTGAGAATGAGGCTGGCAAATTGTTATGGACAGTGATGCAGTAGATGCTGATTTAAGCAGAGAGATGATGCAAATTAATTGTTGTTTGAACTAGTGGGAAAGGCTCTGGGAAAAATGTGTTTAGACATTAGCTTGCCTCTGTGGTATCTGAAAGCTTCTGTTTTCTTTGTGTTTTTCAAATTGATGTCAAAATATTATGCAGTGCCTAAAGAAACTGATTTTGGGTTAAACTGCTACATATTTGAGGCCACTGACATCCCCTTGTCCTATCTGGCAAGTGGAGAAGATGGAAACTGTGTAGCTTCTCCCTGCTTTCAGCTCCCTAGATCCCAGATGGTGAGAAAGCAGCTTTGTCAAATGAGGAAAGAGGAAATATGGGAAATGCAATTCTGTGATGTCAAGCCTCAACTTATCAGCCATTTTGGCACCTGCCAAGCCCTGACCAGCAACTGGGGATTTAAACCTGCCCCAGTTTTAGCTGCTTTTGAGCATTTTCAGAAAGGCTAGCTGTCTTCCACTGCAAACACTCTTCTTCCTGTACCCAAGATGGCAACATAAGTCTGGGTTCTTAATAGCACTGTCTTAGAGCATCCCTTTGTTTTAGGGGCAGCCAAAGTCTAAGAACCATGGCAGGTATGAAAGTGGCAGGAGGTAGCAGTTGGACGACCACAGTGGGAAGGGTCAAAGTTCTAAAGTTAATTTAGACTCCACATTAAATTAGTGTTTAGTTGAAACTGCTGTCAGAAAACATGAAATACTACAAGTTTTGGTGGTCAAACTCAAAGCTGGAGAATGAGAGGCAGGAAAGCTCCCAACCATCATGTGAAGCACGCTGGAAACAGTTTTCCTGAAATCCACATGGTATACTAAGACAGTTACATGTATCTGGTCTTTACTCTCTCTAATACCTAAATAGTTCAGAGTGTACCCATTTGCTCTGTCTTTCTTAATCCTCATCTTCATTTGATTGCTGGAAAGCGGCTTTGGGAAATGCTGGAAGTTGCTTGCCACAACCGTACTTTGCTTATAGGACCATGTGGCCTGAACAGTAGTAGCTCAGACTACGTTAGAGCATCACAGAACTGCAATAATGCAAGCTTCTACTATCACAAGGGTTGAGGGATGTGCTATTTAGTGTCCTTTGCGTAGTCCTCATGTCCTCACTTTGGGAAGAAAACAGTGAGAGTAAGATTTGAAATTGTAAAGTTTTTCTTGTGACAAAAGGAAGAGCTCTTCATGTTAGAGGAATAGAGACAAATGTTCTTTTCTTGACTTTTGCTTTGGAATGATGTAGGTGAGAATAGCAAATGAGGGTCTGTCCTTGTAGATATCTTGATGTTATTTTCTGTTCTTTGAGCCTTTGTACTTTGTATTTGCAAGAAAGTAATCTGTCTTGGGTTTCCTCAGGCTTCTGAGGCATTTCCACAAGTTACTCTTGCTTTGTCCTCTGAATAGAGAAACTCAAACATGTTGTGGAATTGAGTAGCAACTGGACAAAGAAGCAAAAAAGTCACTACTTTTTCCACAGTCAGAAACCACAGATGGTCAGTCTAACTGGTAGCTGTAGCTTACTAGGATTATGTACATGACTGTCAGAATTTTAGTTAATGAGCTTTTGCAAGTTCATGAAACAGTTGTTTCCTTGGTGGCTGGGAGTGAAGGGACTTGTGGGATAAGAATTAGATTTAATTGCACAAAGAGAGGTCTGGAGGGAAAAGACAGCTTTTCAATATGTAACTCTGGAGAACTGGAAAGTATAGAGGAGTAATTATCCCTCACGGTCTGTTCATAACCTACTTTTCTTCCTTAAGAACTGGCTTTGAAAAAAAAGTGCATTTCTACCACAAATACCAATACAGAATTTTATCCATTTCCTAATAAAATCTATCGGATGTTAAATAATATTTTTAATTAAAGTATGCTGCTGCTTTTAAATTTACTCTTTTTATTCTGTCTGAATAAAATGCTATTTAGGCAGCTCCTGGCTGTTTTTAGACTTAGTCTCACTGTGAGAAGAGTTTTCCTTTAGGGCAGCATTTCTACAAGAAGGTAGGAATGATTAAATTCTAGATACAGTGACTGTGAAATCACGTCACACTTCCATGGCATAGAGTTCAACTTACTCTTCATCAAGTAATCTTTTTTTTTTTTAAACAGGCTTTAAACTGTCTTGAGTACATTCTAAAGATTTTTTTTTCATCATGAATTATTAACAGCCAGAGATGAACTTTGCATCATTGGTTATTTGAGAGTTGAAGGATGGGCATCCACTGTACAGGATTTGACATACAGATAGATTATACTGCTCTAATATCAATTCAAAACTATTTATCAATTTAAACTACACAGATGGCCAGTGCCTTCAGTAGACTTCTGCAGTCCTGCTCAGGAGTGAGTTTTAGTCTGTCACTTTCACAAATGAAATTTCATAGATACAGAGGCACCAAGCATCTGTGACACTGCTGATCACTGATCTACCAACTAATAAGTTCAGTAGGTGTGCATGCTAGCAGCACTGGTATTTTCTACATCCAGCCTTTGGATACCCGTCCTGTTTGGAGGCAGGAGTGTACGCTGCAACTTTTTCCCCAGAGAGTTTCTCTACAGTGAGATGAACAACATACTCATGGAATGTCCCTTCATCTTTCAGTACTCATTTGAAGCACAGCAGCTGGATGCTAAAGGGAGAGAGCCCTTTGCAGTGCTTTCTGGATTGTTATCAATTCCTTACAGGACAGCCCTGAAACAAGATCCTAGTCCCATATTAACAAGCTCTGTACCCATGCAGAGCAAGAGATGCCCTCTCTGGATTTATCTGTCTACACGTCTCTCCTGAGATTTCAAGGTACCCCAGGCCTGGCAGATAAGACACCTTCTTTCTCAGAAGGCACTGGGAAGCTAGGCAGAGTATCCAGGGAATCTCAGGTGACACCAGAGAACATTATGTGGGGTGCTAAATCCAGCACCGTGGCCTGCAGTGTTTTCTTCTCTAACCCTACCAAATAACTTCAGGTGAACCCTATAAGAGGTGTAATGGGTCTCATTCCTACCCAGAGCCAATTAATGCAGCTTGTTTCTCTTCAGCAGAAGTAGCTTGCTTAATGGTGGCTGCTGCTCTGATTCAGCTTGCTTATTCCTGCTTTGTGCAGGAGGAGTGGGGAGCTGGTTTACCCAACAGAGCACTGGAAAGCCATGGCTGCCTGGGGCAGACTCCTGATTTCCTGGGCTGAGTTCACTGCCCTAGACATGCAAAACAATCCTTTGCATTTTAATGCCAGTTTCCTAATAATGAACGTTACGAAAAACAGCCAGGTGAAGTTTCCCACTGTATAAATGTCTCTTTGAAATACTGATAATGCTTTTGACAGCTTGCTACTTCCTAGTGTTTTCAGCACATCCCCTGCAGCACTGAGCTGTACTGGGCACTGGCGCTGCTTTGAGCATGCAAGGCCTCCCAACTGAGGCTGCTCAGCCTTGCTCTGCCATGGAGCAGGGCTTTCACTGGACTTACCAGCCAAAATCCATGGCAGCAGAGCCCTGGTTTTACACAGAGAGCTGCACCAAGCCATGGTGCTATGTACCAAGGTTGTATTGAGCAGTGTGGGCTGACACAGGAGCAGAGCCCCAAGACATGGGGGCAGAGGACAAGGAGTGGAGGTGGCTTGGCCTGGGATGAGGAGTGATGAGGCACCAGCTGGCCCTGGAGACCCCCTGTCTGCCACCACCACCCCTGGGGCCCAGCCACTGAGGTGTCCTGAGCAGAACTCGCTTTCAAGTGGGAGAGAAACAAAAAAAATAGGTGTCAGCTTTAACATCCCCCCTTCCACCCCCCAGCAAGGGGCTGTGCAGTCATAGCCCAGTTCCCTCCAGACAGCCCCACCAACCCCAGGTTCAGTGGACAGTGGATGGGGAAGAGGGCACCACACCAACAGCAGCCCGGCTGGGGACAGCAATGCCACCTGCACCGTTAGTGACACTGAGACTTCTGTAGTCTTTGTTTCTTTATTTGCTTTCTCTCATTATTAGATTGAGGTGACTAATGGGAGCCTCCTGGGTCCGCTTCAGCCCCCATTTCACCAGCCCATGGTTATGAAATCACCAGTCCTTGCAGGTAATTAAGACCGGAGCACATATTCAGTAGCTTGGCGAAATAGCTCACTTTTGGATTTAGATACCAGATCTTCAGTGCTGCCGCATATGCTTATCATCACTATCTTTGCGCACAGTCAGCTAACAGCTGGTCTCCAGAAGGGGAACTAAATTAACTGAGGCAAGTCTTCTGTGCTACCAAAGGCCAATGGAAAGTTGAGAAAAAGCCCTCGTAACTTTTTGAGTGTTCTTACTTAATTTGCACTATTTTCTTTCTTTTTTTTTCATCAAGAGCTAGTGACAGAACAGCAATAAAAGTTAAGGCTGCTTAATTTATTAATCTGTGCAGTGACCAGATAAAAAAAATTCTCGTTATAATGTGAACAGTTGCAGCAGTCACTGTCTGCTTCAGCACTCTGTGCTTTCTAATTTTTTCCTTCAGTAGTTACTTCAGGCATTCAGTACTTTTAGAAATACACCGCAATATTACCAGAAATTTTATGAGGCAATCACATCATTTGTCATAAGATTACTAATTACCTAGAGCTTGAGTTATTAAATGGGCAGATCCAGATTTAAAGAACATCCGAAACAAATGCAGATATCCAGAAACAAGACTTCAAGGCCAGACATTGATTTTTTTAAATATGCTTTTCAAACCTGGTAAATAAAAGTTTATAATGCAGTGGATTTGACATACAGATTTTGACATACAGATAGATTATGCTGATCTAACATTAAATAGATAAATAGTTTTGAATTTAACTGTGCAGATGGTCATTGCCTTCACTGGTTTAGAGCTTTCAGACTCTTTCTCAAGGTCAGGTATTTTGGTGTAGATATTTAGGGAATTCTTCATTATTTTCTCTTTTCCATTCACGTAAAGATACTTTAGAAGGCTGAAAAATTAAAGAGTATGTATTCTGGACTGCAAATAAGATGAAGTTGGCCTGTGACTTTTGTGTGTCTTACCCTTCTGTGTGCAGAGCTGTATTGATTTGCTGCTTAAGATGCTAGACATGTACGTGGTACTGGATTCTAGCTGAGGTCTGGAATTCAAATATGTTTGTTTCCGTGCTTTCCAAATTATGAGAACGGTGACTTTCCTGACTGTCACAGCACCCTCTGAAGCAGATTCCGCTCTGAGTATTTCTGCCTCATATTCTCTGAACTGTTTTTGAAAGAGTGAATTCACTTAAATGTCTGCCTTTCAAACTTTAAGAACCTCTTTGAAACTTAGTACTGTTGTTTCTGTTTATGATGCAAAATGGTTAATAATGTCTTCAATACCAGAAGACATAGGGCTGTTTCTGACTCGATGACTTTTGGTTATATGTTAGTCTAGAGTTTATTAAAAAAAAATGAATAAATTCATAGTGTCTTCCATCATAAATTGCTGTAGCTGACTCTTCACACATTCTTTCTTACTTTACCAATAACTGTATGTTCCCTTAAAAAACAAAGTAAACAAAAAGTTTAAAAGCTATTTTATTTTCTCTGATGACACAGAAATACCATATGGACCTATCATCTATTGATGAGTCCCAAATAAATGTGCTTTTTCCACACTACTACAGCTTTGTATTTTGAAGGCATAATGTGAAGGTCTGTTACCAAAAAAATAAAGAAATTAAAAAAATGTGAAGAAGCGAAGCAAAGAAAAAACTCTACCTAAAGTTGAAGCACAGTTTAAATGTTGCCTTTTATTTTAAGGTAAATAATGGCTGTGGAAGATTTTAGTGAACATATCTGCATGACTTGTCAGAGAGTGGCTAGGATCATATGATTGCTTCCAGGTTTTTTTCAGAGTTAAGAAAAGACTTGCATGTTTGCAAGGTAACAACCACTCAGTGGCTTGTGTGGAAGTGTTCCAGTTTGCAGAGCAACATAATGAGCAGCTAGCGAGGATGGTTTTTCAAGGCTGCCAAAGGGTTTTGCAGAGTTGTAATGACTGCCATACTACTGTCAAGCTGTCATGGGCTAAATGAAGGTTTTAAAGCATGTTCAGTGGGTTCGTGGGCAGCAGGTTTTCTGAATGTTCTAGAAATGCTGGGTTTTTTTCCTAAAATACCAAGACATAAAAGGTGAAATGCAAGTAGATCTGTTTGGCTCTGCGCAGTAATTATGAGTGTGAGACCTAAAAGGGGAACTACTTTTTTTCAACAGGATCACATCAGCTAACTTGAGACTGAATTCCTATCTAAGACAACTGAGATACCCAAGATCCTTGTAAGCTCTTCTGTAGATAAAGAGCTCTCTCAGCCTCTCCCAGACTTACTGCATGGGGGAATGATACAGAAACAGTCATCTAATCAAGTTATTTTTATGGTTGATCATTGTAGGCATTTTCAAGTGTTTACAAAGCTTAGGCACTTAATGTGATCTTCTTTAGCTGAAGTACAGAGCACAAATGGCTCCAGTTCTAGACAGAGCTTCTGTTCATTGATTATTAAAAGTGCTATACGGAAAAGTTGCGAGAATTACATTTTGGATAAGTCAGATGAGCCAAAAAATGTATGGAGGTGTTGAGATTAGACATTTGATGTTTATCTATCATATCTGTAAAATTTGATATTTTCACCTTGAAATGACCCCTGTTTTGGGGAGCGTTAGAATGATCTCGTGTAGAAGCCTTCAGAGTAGTGAGAAGTTCACTGTATTGAACCTCCAGGCTGTACATCTCATCATTGATTATCCATGTTATTCTTCCCCTTAAAATCTCATTTGGTCACATAATTGTTCTGTCCAGTGCTTCCTGGTTTTGAGCGCTTTGTTTTGCAATGCTAGTAGTGTTAATTCTGTATGTGGCTTACATATATTATACACAATTTTTTCTTTTCAATGCATGGCTCATTCAGCAGTAGGTTATTGCCAGCTTAGCATGGAGAGGGGAAAATCCACAGACCAGAAAACATGAGCCACTGTTAGGTAGCCTTCTATTAGTTCTGCTCTGTAGAAAATATGTGAAACTTGGTTTAGTGGAGTGCTACATAGTCTGCCAAAGGGATCACTGAGGTTGGCAAAAAAGACATGAGTAAATATTAGGGTGAATTCAGGAAAGGTAGGAATGTAAGTCTGGTCTGCTCGCATAACTTTTGAATTTGTTTTCCATTCAGTGGTGTGTGTTACCTTCCAATAAGAACAGAACCTATACATGCTATGTAAGCATAGACAGGATGCCTGTCACCTCTGCTTTGTTGATTTTGTTAGCCTTGGGTGCATAGGAATCTTTAATACTAAAATCACTTTTCAGTAATATCTAGACTCTGCAGCTCAGTAGTTTTTCTGATCTACTTTTGCTGCTACCCTTTTGATACTACATTGATTTTCTCTTTTCTGTGCCATTTGACATGCGATTCTGAATTGCATACTGCACCAATTTGGTTTTCAGTGCTTCAACTGCCGATTTAGAGACTTCTGGCAGTCTATTTATTACATTCTTATCAATAGGCTGGTCAATATATTGAATCCAACTGTGCTTTCTATTCCAAAGTATCTTCTTAAAAGCAATTATCTGCCATGTGAAATGTTAGTATCTGATTTTTAATTTTTTTTTACCTACTAAAATTTCCATGGAAATTTATTTTCTGTTTATTAAACTAAGTTCTCATAAGGATGCTCGGACTTTCACATGCACAGAGACACGCACTGAAAACGTATAACTCTGAGATACTGAGAAGAATTTCCCATATTAATCTGCATTTGCTAATCTATTCCAAAGTACATTTAACATCAAGGTAGTCATCTGTGCATTGTTAAATTTTCATCCTAAGAAACAGTACTAGCTTTTTACCTGTACAGAATGATGATAAGGCATTACATTAATGTTTTTTTACAGTGTAATTGCCCCTGAGTGCAGACATGTACGCAGCACGACTCTTTGGAGTGGGAATCCTCTTAGTCTTGCTGATTATTTGGGTAAAGGGGGTGCACAAAAATAGGCAATCTTACCGTTCAAGTCTTGATTATTTTAGAAGCCTTCTTTAACCACCAGCATCTAAAAGCAAAAAAAAAAAGTTATTTTTCCAATAATACTCTTTTTGGAGGACCATATGGATAAAAGGATTTTTTGGAACAAAGAGTTTAAGGAGAAATAGAAATGACACACCAGCTTTAGTAGATTGTGCAGTGCAATGTTTATGTGAATTATTTCATCACAAAGTAGAAATGTGTTTGGAATAGAGTTTAAAAGTTATACTGATGAAACGAAAATTTGTTCGTTTAGAGAAAAAAGTCGTAATATAGGAAGCTAATTTTCCTGCTATTGAAAACTTAGCTTTAACTTCATCTTTGAATATGTGGTGCTGAGTTAAGGATACACTAATTGGAGCGTTTTATATTGCTTTTATTAGTAGTTTTTTTTTTCCAAAAGCAGAGCTGTCTTGCATGACTTTGTATGAGGTTTTTAACGTATATTTTATTTATAACAAGATTGTTCTTATTTATGGTCTTTGTTTGCAGTACTTAATATTTTTGGGGGGCTTGAGCAATCATAGGTTTCTTAAATTCTTGAACTATATTTTTCAAGACTGTTTTCCAATTTGGTGGGTTTACTTTCTCAATGCAGTAAGTTCATATACTTATGTCTGTTGACTGGAAACCAGGAATTGGATGTCATAGATGTCAGTGGTGTTATACAAGCGTGACCTACATGTGTCATGGTGTGAAAAGACTGGAGAAACAGAGGTTTTTTTCAATCAATCACCAACATGAAGTCAGTTGAAAGTGACAGGTTTTTTTTAAAAGCTACATAAATGGACTTATACTTACATGGAGATTTCTTTTCTTTTTTTTTTTTCCTCCTGTGTTCTGTTGTCTAAAATGGCAAGAAGAGAAAGAAGTTATTAACGGGCTGGGTATGATAAACCTTTTCTAATTAGTGTGGGGAAAAGACAACGGTAAGGTGGTTGTAAGAATGCAGATGGAAAGACCTTCATCTTAGTTCTTTTTTGTGCAAGGTGTTGACAACTTGAGCTGATAATGGCTAAAATATATGAAAATACACCAGCAAGCCAGCTACTGATACAGTGAACTAAACTGCACGTTACTGAAACATTAAGCCCAATTCAGTTGTGTGTTTTCTTTCGTATGTTCAGTGACGAACAAGAAACCAGCTCAAGCGTCTATTACGAAGGTGAAGCAGTTTGAAGGCTCTACGTCTTTTGTCAGGAGAACACAGTGGATGCTCGAGCAGCTTCGCCAGGTCAATGGTATAGACCCTAATCGGGTGAGTTTGAACAGTGCAAAATTGAGCTCTTTTGTAACTCACTTGTGAATCAGGCATTCTTTCACTATTCAAAAGGCATGTGGAAAGATAAGATACAGGTTTACGTGCAAATTCTCAAAATAAAGAAATAACTCAATGGAATATGTGAGATAGATTTTAATGGGAAAGATGGGAGAAGGCCAAAGCTTAAAATCACATGGGTTTTTTTGTTCCTGTCTTTCCCTTTCTACTCTTTCTCTTATTTGTAAAGAGGAGCATCGGTGTGGTTTAGTTGCCAATGGCACATGAGCACTGATTTAAACAAAACAACACAACCTCACCCCTCAAAAAAAAAAATAAAAGAAACCCTTTGACCACTGCCCTATGAAATGCAAGGGATAGAACTTGTTTTCTCTGGGTAAAGGGATGATGAAAATCAGAGCAATGACAAATAGATAAGGTACATGAGTGTTGTGGTTTAGGCCTAGTGCATAACTGAGCACCACGATGCCCCAAAAAGGGCTAGTTAAAATAAGGACTGGGAGGGCTTCTCACCACTTAAACAGGTCACAGGCAAAAGACAGACTCATCATAAGGAATAAAAAAAAACCTATTTTCATTTGTTACCAACATCCGAGTAGAACAACGGGAGATACAACCAGGTCTTAAAGTCAAAACACCTTCCCCCCACCCCTCCCTTCTTCCCAGGCTCAGCTTTGTTCCCGGTTTCCTCACTTTCCCCCTCTCCCTTTGCCTTGAAGTGCAGGGGGATGGGAGTGGGGGGTTGCAGTCGGTTTTCACGCCATGTGCCTCTCAGGAGTAGGAAAACTCAACTCATGTCTCTGCTTCCACGTGGCCCCCTTTCCATAGGGGAGAAAGTCCTCAAAAGTCCAATATGGGTCTGCCCACAGCTGCAGTTTCCCTCACACATGAACAGCTCCAGCACACACTGCCCAGAGTCACGGCTTCTTCAGGGGCAGCCAATGCG